TTCTATTATTTGTTTATTGATAGCTTCATTAAGAGTATTGTTTTGAATATTTAATGTATATTATGTTTTTATGCTTTTATTGTAGAGATTGATTGTTTTGCATTGTTAGCTGAATGTTCGTATTTAGAACCAATTTAAACCATCCAGGCTGGCCGAACCCCGCAAGATATTATTGGGATTACGAACGAAAATAACATTAACAGCGAGGATATCCAACTGATGAAACAAGCATTCTAATTTTTATAAGCAAAATCGTAATAAAAGTATGTACAATTAGCTATACTCATTACCAGGTTAATTTCTACTTTGGCTCTAACTTCTAAGTAGTTAGTTTGCAGGGATTGGGGTTAATATTAACTGTTTTTTATTCAAACTTTGACTTCTTAAGCCTTGCTTTCTATTTTGTATAGCTATCAGACTGAGATTTTTGGACTACTGTATTACAAATTAATATAACTCTTAAACTAACCAAATAATACTCATAATTAAATCTGCAGTAATCCAAAAAATACAATCAGTAAACACTTTTTTTCATAATCGCATTTCACAGTACATATTGTGTATTTAGACTAACCTGATATCCATGTCCCATTAAATCTTCTGGGTGAGAAACTTCCACTTAAAACCTCAGCTAAGTTGAGCCTTTCTTTCTTGATATGAGGATTATCATCGCCTAAATAAAAAACAAAATTCAGTTCGTGCGTTACTAAACGAAAACAAGTTCAAGTAATCAGTTTATCACAAACTGATGCATTTGGAAAAACTTCAAAATCAACAAGACACGAGAACGCTATACTACACTAGCAAGTACAAAGTAGGCTTAACGTGCACTTGCTAATATAGCATCGAGTTCCATTCAAAAATGCCCGTGATGGGCGCAGCACGAATGGTCCATTAAGTAGCTTTGTGCTTAACAAACAAAAAAGAAACATTCATTTTTTTTCAATACAATAAATATTGAAATTAATGTCAGTACGTCTATCATACGTTAAGATCAGAAGAAAAGGTCTTGAGTCTATGCCTTCAAAATTCTATATAAATGCAGAAATATTTTAAACATTGCCTTTAAATATCCGCCCATGCTAAGCTCATTGTTTCTGTCTTCAGCTCATTATACTAAAACGACAGAATAAATACGGTGTTCTGCTATAATAAATTATGGTTTTATTTGAAACATTGCTTTTCTAAAATAATTTGATATTCATTTCTAAACAAGTTTTCACAAATGGAAATAATTCAAACGTGGAATTTCGCGTTAATTGACATAAGGATTGTTCCATATTTGTTTGAGAGAAAATTCATTAAGAGACGAGATTAACTGATCGTTTAAAGGGATGGAACGCGAGTAACTATTGTGGGAAATTTAATTACTCTACAGTATTGATGTAACAATATTGTTACGTATGTGCTTGTTTGATAATTTCCCGTAAAAATTATTCCCGAGGAACTTCAGCGATAAAAGTCCTTTCTAAAATAAAACTAGTTTATTCTTTCTCAATACAACTTTGTAACACACTTAATTTCGACAGTCACTTTAAATTAAACACATGCTATAATTCACAACGATTCACGCACTTTACTTACGGTCACTACCGCTCACTTGACTCAATTATCTGTCTCTATATTTGTCTATCTGCAATTATTTCTCCGCTTTATTTGCAGGGCTTATATACTAAAATAGAGGGCGCCTAGAAAAGACTAAAGTTGCCAGGAACAGTCATGATCCTTCTAGAAACTCCAGCGCGCATGCTTCCAGCTTCACATGACTTCCGCTGTCGTAACAATATCAACTGCTATGAGGTGTTTATAACCT